GTATGGCGCGCACTAAGTGCAATAAAGAGTAAGTAACCTAAAATTAGGGCCTGGAACCCAGGCTACACTAATTGCTGTAACATTTCCGCATGTTTGATTTTAATATTACAAAATTGTTGTATTTTTATTTTTACTCAATAAAAAAACTTAACAAATTTGTTTTCATTTGAAGGTTTGCACGTATGAGTATATGTATTAAACCAAATGCTTGGGGTAACTGCATCTATTTAGACTAAAACACTGTGGTGTTACAGAAAGCATTTGTTTTAATTTGCGTTTTAATAGTTTTAGACAAATCATTGTGTGATATTTAATCATTCCAATGTCAATTGACCCAAGTTTGTTAAATTATAATTGATTTTAGGAGTCATGTTTATTCATAGAGAATTTCACATTTTTTAAATTACTCTTATATCAATATATGGTTTTTGTACCATAGGACTTGAAATGAAAAGAAAGCAATGTGCCACGCAGAGGAATATTTCAGTGAGTAAATGACGTTTTTCTATACCAACACCTGTTACAAAAAAAGGTTTAAATAATGCCTTATGTTTTTAATAATTGTGTAATATTATTGAAAATCTAAGAGCAATTATTATTAATCTGTCAATATTCAAAATTCCATACAAGAGTAGAGTATCGTCAATTATAATAATTTACAGATTTAAACTTATAGAATCACATTTAAATGCAGAATGACAGTTTAAACATAACTATTACCATCGAGAATGTAATTATTCGTCACTGTCATTATCATTATGAGTTCTGACAATGAACGATAGATGCTTTTAATAATTTGATGCTGTTAGCAGCCTAAAAGAGTGGCGTAAACAATTAAAACAATACTTAAATATCAGGATTATAGATTCTATATAATATACAATTACAATTTTTAGATTTTCATAAATGTTCCGTATTAAATTTTCATGTTCCAAATGCTGTATTAAATTTAGAGTGATTTTCTTTTTCATTGTATCATTATTTCTAGCAAAATCAAAACATTGAAAACATTTTGGATAGTTTGACATTTTGTGGACTGAGAAAGGTATGTGTAAATTGTTGGTATTGTGATGACAATTATTGTTTTGATGAATGATACTGGAAGTATGTATAACATTGACACTCATCCACATGGGCAGTGCATATAAAAGCCTTTGAGTTTGTTTAAAGTGATTAAAATCTAAAATTTTCTTAAACCAACAAAACAAATGTAACTATAGACAACACAACTTGTAGACAACAACACTAGTACAACGCTTAGTTATCCATTTGTAACCTTTTTATATATTTCTAATTTTTCTTCAAGCCAAATTCAGATTATAAATTAGGGGTATGTACAGTAAAGCCTGTTTGAATAATTTACTTTACTGACTGTTTTAAATATTGTTAGTGGTGTTTCTTTAATTGTTTTGTTTTCATGCAATCTAATATAACCTGGACCTGTATCACATAGATAAAATGTCTAAAGACTTATTTTCTTCTGGTGGTGAATTGACCATTATACTGGAATACAATTCTTCTTTCTAAAGAGTGCTATTTAACAGAACATTTGTACACAGGAAGAACAGCTTTAGTTAAGTGGTTCTGACAGTTTTTCCCTCACAGATACTAACATCAAACACATGTTATGAATATCTTTGTTTTATTTTATATTAATGAAATTTTTGCCCATGTTGCAATATTGATTATAGAAAATTTAATTTATGTTAAAGGGACTGGACTTGATTAGTGTTTACACTATTTTCGAGCTCCTTCCTTATGTCTAACAATGTCTTGTATTATTTATATTGTAAAAGAAATTTATTTGGAAAATAAAGTTCAAGTTCAAGTTGAATTTTTATCTAGCTGAACTTACCTATTTATGATATTACACAGATTTAAATGTAAGAAAGAACACGTATTTAACCATTTACTGGTCCTACTTTGTAAAGATCTATTGAAGTTGAATATTTCATTTCCTTTCCAAATTTTATATATTTCAAATTCAAAGATTTTTGTTGTTTACTTAACACATTTAATAAAATTAATTAACATGTAAATAGCAGATATCTGCATTAACTATAAATATACATCATTCTCAGAGGTTATGCATAAACTGATGATCAATTTTGTTCAAATTCAAAAGGGTACTGAAATTACAGAATCTGGACACCACACCATATGGTACCTAGTTGTTTTTATTATACAGTAACTCTATTTAATCTTTCAGAAGGAGGTGGTGACTATAGTCAAAGTTTTGTTGCAGATTCCAAGGATTGTTCATCAGAAAAGTTCCTCCCTGATCCTGTTCCTTCCAGTAAAGGTAATTAAAACTATGTTGACAATTTGAATGCACAAATCAATTACCTACCGTAGTAAAGTAACATCATGTTGACAATAAGTATCTGTGGGCACTGTTTTTCTGATACATGCAAAACATGTTAAAATGAGCTATTAGCACCTTGGAAACTAAAAATTATAAATCAAAAGTAATTTTTTTAAATAGCAGATGAAAATATTAATTTACACATTACTCTAAAATACATTTTTGGTTATTACCAGTTATTGTTTTTGTTGTATATACAATGAACACAAGACAAATGATGGATCTGGACACCTGACTGTGTGGTATCTAGTTGTTTTTATTGATATCGTTTTTATTTTAAGTCTATTTAATCTTTCAGATGGAGGTGATGATAACAGTCACAGTTTTGTTGTAGATTCCGAGGATTGTTCATCAGAAGAAGAGTTCCTCCCTGATCCTAATCCCTCTAATAAAGGTAATTACAACTATGCTGACAATTTGAATGCATAAATCAATTACCTACCTTAATAAATTAACATCATGTTGACAATAATTATCTGTGGGTACTTTTTTCTGATACATGCAAAACACGTTAAAATGAGCTATTAGCACCTTGTAAACTAAATATGATGAATCAAAAGTAAGTGTTTTAAATAACAGATGAAAATAATAATTTACACAATACTCTAAAATACAATTTTGGTAAATATTGTTTTTGTTGTATATGCAATGAACACAGGACACATAATGGATCTGGACACCTGACTGCAGTACGTTTTTATTTTAGGTCTATTTAATTTTTCAGATGGAGGTGATGATGACAGTCACAGTTTTGTTGCAGATTCCAGGGACGGTTCGTCAGAATAGTTCCTCCCTGATCCTAATCCCTATAGTAAAGGTAATTGCAACTATGTTGACAATTTTGAATGCACAAATCAATTACATACCGTAGTAAAGTAACATCATGTTGAGAATAAGTTTCTGTGGGCACTTTTTTCTGATACATGCAAAACATGTTAAAATAAGCTGTTAGCAACTTGTAAACTAAAAATGATGAATCAAAAGTAAGTATTTTAAATAGCAGATAAACATAATAATTTGCACATTACAGTACTCTAAAATACATTTTTGGTTATTCCCAGTTATTATGTTTGTTGTATATACAATGGACACAAGACACATAATGGATCTGGTCACCTGACTGCGGTACGTTTTTATTTTAGGTCTATTTAATTTTTCAGATGGAGGTGATGATGACAGTCACAGTTTTGTTGCAGATTCCAAGAACTGTTCATCAGAAGAGTTCCTCCCTGATCCTGTTCCTGCTAGTAAAGGTAATTACAACTATGTTGACAATTTGAATGCACAAATCAATTACCTACCGTAGTAAAGTAACATCATGTTGACAATAAGTATCTATGGGCACTTTTTTCTGATACATGCAAAACATGTTAAAATGAGCTATTAGCACCTTTTAAACTAAAAATGATGAATCAAAAGTAAGTATTTTAAATAGCAGATAAAATATTAATTTGCACATTACTCTAAAATACATTTTTGGTTATTCCCAGTTATTGTTTTTGTTGTATATACAATGAACACAAGACAAATGATGGATCTGGACACCTGACTGTGTGGTATCTTGTTTTTATTGATATCATTTTTATTTTAGGTCTATTTAATTTTTCAGATGGAGGTGATGATGACAGTCACAGTTTTGTTGCAGATTCCGAGGAGTGTTCATCAGAAGAAGAGTTCCTCCCTGATTCTAATCCCTCTAGTAAAGGTAATTACAACTATGCTGACAATCTGAATGCACATTACATATAGTACATGATAAAGTAATGCAATACATCACGTTGAGTATCATACTAATAACCAATCTGTGGGAAAAGTCCAATGCATTAAGATGTCCTATTGGGCATTGTCTAACAAGATTTTCTGAGTTAGCCATTATAAATTAAATATTAATCAAAATTATATATTTTCATTAAATAGCAGATGAAATAATATTGTAAACTTTAGTCTAAACGAGCCCTTAACATATACAATGAACACAAGACACATAATGAATGAATGACGCAGCACTGTCTAGTCGTTTTTATTGATATTGTTTATATAATATTTTAAATATGTTAAATATTTCAGATGACAGTCATTCAGATAGTTTTGTTGGAGATTCTGATTGTTCCTCAGGAGAAGAAGAGTTCCTCCCTGATCCTGAAACCTGTAGTAAAGGTACCGTACTCGCGCGAATAAGCATCCCGTTTGAATAAGCGCCCCGTTTGAATAAGCGCCCCTTCTAATTTGAATGAGCGCCCCCTCAATAACATCATAAGATTTTCTTTTTAGCAAGTCAATAATCCAATCAATCCTGGGACTGTAGTTGTTGGCATGATTTGAGCTGCAGAGTGGAAACACATTCTTCTTAGGTCAGTATCAAAATGAGGATATTTCTCTTGGACAGATGAGAGCTCCAATCCCTGGACAGACAGTATATTTCCAACTTTACTCTATTTACATATTTTTGTCTATGCTTAGTCCTACTCCTCTTTTTCTTTTTCCGACCTTTAGCACCTTCTCATCTGAGTTTTCAAGAAAAAATACAATGATCCTGCCATCCTGCTAATCTCAATCGGCCGATGGCCAACAAGCTAACCACTACCCACCACCACTAATTGCATCTGCTATTTTGCTGTTATGTAAATATTCACAGCATTCTTGCCATGAGCCATTCTCTGGACGATTATCTTTTCCGTCTAACCACCATTTGTAAGGTCCTTAAATAATCTTTTTTTCATTCAAAAAGTGCCTCTTGAATTTAATAATTTCCCATAAGAACCCCTTGATTTTCATCTATTTCCATAAGCGCCCAATCAATTTCCACTCTGTTTTCATAAGCGCCCCGTTCAAATAAGCGCCCCTCAGAAAGTGCAAAAAATATTTTAAGCGCCCGGGCGCGTTTATTCGCGCGAGTACAGTAACTATAACTATGTTGACAATTTGAATATGCACCTTAATTTACCTACAGTATATGATGCATTTAAAGCAAAATGTACACCAGGAATGTACCTTGCTGAATATATTTGAAAATTCTTGTGTTCCAATCCAATATAAATTTAGGGCAACATGTGATTTCATTATTTCCTATTGTCTTACTGAATGTTCGAGATCATGATGTATGAAATATGCACAATCATTTAGGACCACCACAGGCCTCAATTTTTCACAATATTTAGCTGCATCCGGCAGTAGAAGACAAGCTTTGCTGACATACATTAGAAACAAGGGAAATCATCAGCATAATTACAAAGTACTAGAAGAAGGAAAAGGAGACCTGATAGTTGTTTATCGACCGTCTGAATATCGTAATCCTGCGAACTACCAACCATGTTCAAACTGTTTAGGGTACTTTTCTAAGTGCGAAATGTGGAAGCACAATTGTAAACTGGACAGCAGCCAAAATTCCAGAAACAATGAAAAAAAAGCCTCACACGTCAAACAAGGAAAACTACTTCTACCACCTCCAAAGAGTGTTGAAGCTGGGACTATAGTCCATGAATTGATAAGTAATATGCGTAGTGATCACATAACCCAATGTATCAAGGGTGACAACCTTATATTGTGCTTGGCAAAACGGCTTTGCTTTAAGTTAGGGCACGACAAGGAGCAGTTTAACTATTTACGTGCCAAACTTCGAGAGGTAGCACACTTTGTACTAGAATTTAGGAACATGACACAGAAAAATGTTAACCTTACTGATATTATTAACCCATTGTACTCTAAGGAGGTTGTTCAGGCTGTGCGAAATAGGATTTAATGAAGTAACACATCTCTATACAACCCCAAGTCTGGCATTAAAACTCGGTCATTCATTGAAAAAAGCTTCAATGATTGTTGTGAACCATGCGCTAATAAATGGAGATGAAAGGAAAGAAAAACAAGGAAAAAATTTCAACAAGCTGGTGAGTGACAATTGGGACATTGATGTGTCTTGTCATGCATTAAGAACACTCCATAGTAATAAACGGAACAACCCCAAACTACTTCCATTAACATCAGATGTGATGTTATTGAGCAAGTATTTAAAAGAAAAAGCAGAAATGTGTACCCTACAACTAAATAAAGAAGAGCCAAGTGAAGAAGTTTGGAGAGAGCTAGAAAGAGTCACCTTGACACAACTCCTTTTATTTAACAGAAAAAGACAAGGGGAGGTATCGAAAATCACTCTTGAGGATTATAGTCAGCTAAAAAAAGGGAGCTCGCATGTTTTAGATGTTCAGTTCCTTAGCAAAATCGAAAAGGAGCTGGTGAATGTTTTGTGGAGAGTTGAAATTATAGGGAAACGTGGCAGGACTGTTCCTGTCCTGATTACTAATACCATGAAATCTGGTTTAGATCTGCTACTGGAAAAGAGAGGTCTCATGAATATCAGAAGCAGTAATCCATACTTGTTTCCAAGTGGCTACGGATCGGCCTCACACCTCCGTGGTAGTGACACTTTGCGCAATTATTCTGTCAAATGTGGTGCTAAGCAGCCCCATTTGTTAAGATCAACATAGTTGAGAAAACATATTGCAACAATGACACAAGTAATGAACCTAAAGGACAACGAACTGGATGTGCTTGCCAATTTTCTTGGCCATGATGTACGAGTACACAGAGAGTATTACAGACTACCTGAGGCCACCTTGCAAGTAGCAAAAGTTTCGAAACTCTTGTTTGCTTTAGAGGGCGAAAATTCGACTGCAGTCATGAGTGGAAAAAGCCTGGATGATCTGCAGGTAAATGCAGAAGAAGGTGAGTTTTTCGTGAAGCTAAAAATAAGAATGTAAAATTTAGCTGTTTTCTTTTGACTTTTGACATTTATATAAGGTCATGTGAGAATACAGTAAATTTTGTCGATCTTTTTTATACAGCATTTTTTGTTTCTACCATATAACACTGAACTTTATAAAAATATATTTCACAAATTTATTTTAAAACCTATTAAAATTAGGAGTATGCACTACTGAATTGTTGAAATTGTGAAATAACTTCTGTGATAACATCCTATCTTTTTTTGTCTGAAATCTAGAAATTGAGGCAATGAGTGACGAAGATAGCTCGTCCGATGAAGAAACATTAAAACCAAAAACAAAAATGACTGTAAAGCCACGAAAAAGACAATGGACGGAAGAAGAAAAGCATGGTGTGGTGACATATTTTAAAACATCCATTCAAGCTGGTCAAACTCCTGGGAAGAAAGCTTGCTTAGAGTGTATCAGTGCACACAGGCGTTTGCAGAATCGTAGCTGGCGGAATGTAAAAGATTTTGTCAGAAACAAAATCACATCGTCTGCTCGATATAATTCAAGATAAAGTGAGACATGTCATGGCGAAATGGTTAAGTTGTCGCACAGGCCAGTATTGAGTAAATGAGCTATAAAATATGGGAACTCAAAAAATTGCCTAAATATCCAATTTTTTTTTTCATTGTAGATCAACAGTTTAATGTCTTATTAATCATGTACCAAAGTATTAGATCTGGAAGTGGTCAACAAATTGTTTAATTTATTAATGTTATTTTGATAGTTAATTTTATTTAAAAATGTATGCACAAATAACTTTGAAAGGCAATTACTCAAAATCATGTTTATCTTGATTCTAAGAGTACTGTATTTTCACTTTCCAATAACTTAGGCTTGAAATGTTCAATTTCAATGAATGACCCCTCATTTTAAAGATCACATACTCAGGTATCTGAAAATACCAATAACTTGAATTTTAATTTTTGCTACAACTTAGCCATTTTGCCACAACATGCCTCAAATGAGATAAACACAAAAATCGATATTCAAAATAACAAAATACTGTATTGCTAAGAAATAGTTCATAATTATAGAATTTATAAGTTCATGATTATAGAATTTAAATTTTATTTGTATCTGTATTAGATTTATTATATTATATACAATTTAAGAAAAATTGAGAAAATCTATCACAAAAAATAGATATATTATAATTTATTTATTTTACAATTTATTAAAATGATTTATTATATTTTATACCAAGAAAAAATGAGGCATGACGTGGCGAAATGGTTGTTGTCGCACAGGCCAGTATTAAGTAAATGAGCTATATAATATGGGAGTTCAAAAAATTGCCCAAATATCCAAATTTGTTTTTCATTGTAGATCAACATTTTAATGTCTTATTAATCATGTACCAAAGTATTAGATCTGGAAGTGGTCAACAAATTGTATAATTTTTTAATGTTATTTTGATAGTTAATTTTATTAACAATGTATGCACAAATAACTTTGAAAGGCAATTACTCAAAATCATGTTTATCTTG